CTTGCCTACCATTCTTCATGATATTAACCTGGAGGCATTCTAACATTCCCCACACATCTATTCAGCACTGCTCTGTGTCAAGCCTCATAAGAGGTAAGGAGAGGAAATCATATGTGGTTCCTCTCCTTGAGGAACTCCCATCTTTATACTCATGCCTGTGGTCTCCTAAGATCATGCAACTCTGAGGTCTTCAGAATGCCAAGGCCAAGCCCAGAGGAAGGCTGTACCCTACACAGTCAGTTTTACTTATGTTTAGTGAGTATAGCTGAAGAAAGTGAGCTGGGGCAGAGAGGGTGCCTTCTTCGTGTCAAAGTATGGCAATTCCTCTAGATCACAAGTTGTCAAATCTGAAAAGAGGCACAGAGATCATTTAGTCCAGTTTCTCATTTTCCATATAGGAGAAATTGAGACCCAAGAGAAGAAGTGACTCGCTTAGATCAAAAAGAGAGTGGAAACTCCATGCAAGTATGTGAAGGGGAACATGATGAAAGTCTAGACTTTCAGATAGGTGTGTCAAATTGGGATATAAACCTTTCCCTTTGACCAACAATCATTATGTCACTGTCTAGAATTTCCTGTGAAGAAGGTGCTACAACACCTTAGTTAAAAGTAACTAATCCCCAGGAATTGGCCAGACCTGTGTTTGTTTTAAAAATGATTTCTTTTTTGTTAATTGGCATTTTGTTCTAGATATTTGGTCATCTAAAAGCACATGCATTTCTGCATAATTTGGCTGTGCTGACAGGGACAATATCTCATCTAGTTTAGAATTTTCACAGTATATGGGCACAGAATAGGCACTGAAAACATATTTTAGTTAATTTATGCATTGTCTAAACACAGTGACCATTATAGTCTGACAGACATGGATGTGAGTCCTAGTTCCGTCACTTAGCTATGTGGCCTTGGGCAAGTTGTTTCACCTCTGAGACTGTTAACTTACCTGTGAAATGTGGTGATGAGAGTGTGTATATATAAACACACACACTCCTATAAAACATTACTTTGCAAGATTCTAAACCCCTAACATGGTCCCTGGCACATACACTGTTGGGATACGTTTTTTCTGTTGAGGGGGTGGATTCTTACTTTAATTCCATGCTCAATTGCAGAACTACCATTAAGAATTGGCTGAGACATTGAAATCTAAGATGTGGCAATCTGAGTATTATCTCTGAGAAACTCCTTAACTAAAAAAAATTAAAATATGTAATTTTTCCGACTCTGTCATTGATCGCTCTCCATTCATGTCCCCCCCCCACTGCCTTCTCTCTTTCTCCCTTTGCCTCAAAGGAAACTAATGGAGCTACATAGAAAGCTCCAAATAGAGCTGACCTTGTGTATCTTTAATTGAGGACAGAATTTGCTCAAAGTGTGTACAAAAATCCACCAGTGGTTTACCTTATAATCTGTGTCCTGGCTAGACTGGCTGTTGGCTGTATAATTTATCTAGTTTTGTCTGGCGTCTTAGACTATTCAGCTGCTTCAGGGCAAAATCTTTTGGGGTGTCATTAAATGGGATTGATAATTGGCTTCTGATGAATATTCATTGTGACTAATGACTTTGGGCAAATTTTACACATACTATCTTTCTATTCTCCCACAGAGTGAGATTTTGGTAGGATCATTTTCCTCAACTTGCACTTCAGTTAAATATTCACAATGCCCTTTTACTGACTGTAATCCAGATTGTATACTTTCATTACTTTTCCATTTTGTGTTCTGTAAGGAATGAGCATAGGTCTTTAAGGCCCTTATTTTTTTTAATGGGATTGATAAATTTAGCATTATTTTTACAATGAGTGAGTACTGATAATTTATGGGACATAGTATGTTACTTATGATTAATCATAGATATATTATAACACTTTTGGTTGTCAGCTTAGCCACTATTCCTAAGTAATGCATATTGTGTCACTTAGAATTTTGGAAAAGAGTATAACAATTACTTTTGTTTGTTTGTTTGTTTGTTTAATCAAATGGGTAAATGCATCCTACTCCATTTGCAGAGATTTGGCCCTTAGAAAAGCCCCCAATGAAAATGATGATCAAACTTAAAAGTTTGGTTTTTATGAGAGATAAGTAATTTTGAAATCCTGGCCCTTGATAGGTTGATAGGTTTTTTTGAGGTTAAGGAGATATGAAAAGAATGTTGTCTGAAGATTAGATCTCTTTCTCTTTATCAGTTAAAAATATATTTTGACTCAAACCAGTTTAAGCTAAAAAGAGGCAGGTAATTGAGTTTTATCTCAGCCAGGAAAATTCTGTTGAATGACTTTTCAAACAGAATTGCAAATGAATTCATGTGATGATGATACCTTACATTTGTGTGGTACCTTACAGATTTTGAAGTGCTTTTATCTATTTCATGTGCTATACAGTTACAGAGTAGGCATATTATTGAATAAATGGATGAATGAATCCATTGGCTTAGTTTCTCAAAAGCGGTGTATTTGCGTGTACCATTATTATTTTGGAATTTGAGTCATATACGCTACTCCTTGAAACTCATGAAAATGTAGGTCCAATGCTGTTAAAAGCCAAGCCACTATCTTTATATTGTGAATATATTCTAAGTAGGAATTGTTTATTTATTCAAGAAACATTGCATTAGCTAGCACTTATATGTATGCTGAGCCACTGAGAATATGGAGAGGAAAAGAGAGCATTTTTTTACTGTAAAGTGAAAGGACGAACGTCAAATTATAATCCCATTAATAACAGGGACTAATGACCACGAGTGCCATTTGAGGAAAGTAGTGCTTGTGCCAAGAACTGAGGGAGGATGAGTTTTGCTAGGGGCACAATCTGAACCAGTTCAGCAGACAAATGGAAAGAGAGACAGTGGGAAAAGGAGTACCGAACTGCTCCTAAGTCTGCAAATGATTTATTCCAAGAATAAGCTTGGAGGAGGCAGTAGAGGCTGTGACTGGAGATGCTGCTCTACAAGTAGACTGGGAACTCGTGGAGAAAGGCCTGTTCCAGTCATGCCCCCAAAGGTTTCTGAGTAGGATATTACTTGACTGGACCTGCACTTTAGTAATACTTTGGCAACCAGTTAAAGGATAGGCCGGAAGAGGTGGGGCTCAAGGCCTGACTTCAGGGTGGAGTTGGAGTAAAGTTGGTTCATTTTCCACTCATTCAACAGCAGCAAAAATTTGCATATCTTCTAACCTTAAAGAGATTAGTCATGTATAATATGACTGACAGTCCCTATATTTTATATAGAAAACTACCAAAATGGATTGAGAAGGGTTGGATTAAACCTATAAGCCTTGGCAGAATCACTGGGAACAACTCTTGAGAGCTTGCTGGATCAGCTCCTGTTCATGACTTGTACCTGATTTAAAGAACAGGGTCTGGAGGGAAAAGGAGCGGTAGAAGTAGCAACACTGGATTTAATACACGGCTCACAACTGTGAAACAGCAGCAGAATATCCGATTGAAAGCTGTTCATGTTACCCTAACCTCTGGGATTCTTCTAACTGGGCCTTGGCATGCCACTCTTTTGCCACATAAGTGTCCTTCTGTCAGCAAAGGCCAGTTAACAGCTTCCAAAAGACGCAAAGTCCTCGTGGGAACAGGCTTCCCAGAGACCAAAGAAACATTAAAGAAAAAAGGCAGAAAGAAGCACGTGTTGTTGGCTTTTGTCACTTTATAGCCATATTTCCAAAGGTGTTGGTTTTTTCCTTTCTTTCACTATATTGAATTTTGAAGCAATTTTATTCCATTATAGCTTTGTGTTTAAATTTTTAATTATATCAAATAGTAATTGTAGATGCATCTAGCTCTTGAAGAAAAAAAGGAATATGAAATAGGGGCATATCAAAAGAATAGAGAGAGGAAGGATTAGTCAGTAAATAGTGCGGTGGCAATTGATTAACTATGTGGAAAAAATAAATTCTCACCTCAGTCCTTAAACCTAAATTAATTCCAGATGGATTAAAGAGCTAAATCTGGGGAAAGTCTGTAGGACGGACTTAGTATAAAATCATTGAACACCATCATGAAGGAAAAGATTTATCTACGTAATTATTTAAACCTTCTCTTCGCCCAGAAATTCCAGGAAAATTAATTAAGGATAGGTTCTTTTTCAAGAACATTATAAAGGTTAGTGTCCTTTACATATTCAGTGTTTGCTTGTAATCAATTTTAAAAAAGTACCAATAAGCATTAGAAAAAGTGGACTAGAATATGAAGAGTTTACCTAAGAAATATAGTCAAGAAACATATGAAAAGATGTTCAGCCTCAGTCATGAACAGAGGAATAAAAATAAAATCAAGATAGATAAAATTTTAAAGCTTCTAACTTGATAATTCTTAGTGCTTTTGACATGTAGGGAAAACATTCTAGTACATGGCTGCTTGTGTGCAAAGAGCCTGCATCCTTCATCTGTTATATTATTAGGTTTATTATATTTATGTCACTGTATTAACTGCTTTAAAATATTTACAACTTTCATCTCTGAATTCTCTATCTAGGAGCCATATATAAAGATTATTGACATGATCTGACTATATAATTTAATGGTAGAAAAGTGGTCAAGTACAGTATGGGAAGTTCATTGAATATCATTAAAAAAAAAGTTTTCTAAGAATATTTAAAGATGTGCGGAAATGCCAACAAATAAATGTTTAAAAAAAAAGACAAACACTGTATTTATAGTGATCATAATTTTTTTAGGGAATGAAATATATGTGCATATGTATATAATACACCAAAATGTTATTTTCAGATGGTGAAGACTTTTATCTTCTTTTATCCCTTTTTCCATGTTCTAAATTTTATACTGTCATTGTTCATTAGGTTCCTAATCAGGAAAAAGTAGATTTTTTTTTGACAAGCAAGCTCTTACTAAATTTGAATTAGGATTACATTAACTACATTAACTCTTAAATACATTGAGAAATGTGTATTTAATTTTATTGCTGAACTCAAATGACAGTGTCCCCTCCCTCTGACTTTTTAGCTCTGAATCTCCAATTTGCTTCTATTGCAGCTCACGGCCTGCATCCACGGCTCTGCTGCCATGCTCTACCCCATGTTCTGGCAGCATGTGTACATCCCCGTCCTGCCTCCACATCTGCTGGACTACTGCTGGTAAGGCCAATGCTTATCTTTTCCTCTGTGCTGCTTCTCCAGGAGCTGACAAGGAATGTGGGTCCTGTGACTTGTAATGCAGTTGATTACACTAAATTAAAAATACTAACTTCAAAATGATGTGAATTTTAAACCACATGATTGCACGGCCCTTTGCTTCCAAACAACTTTCAAACGTCATGGCATTCTGAAGTGTTCAGGTGAACAGATAATACTTTCACATTTCTCAGTGTAGGGAACCAAAGCACCAAGTAGTCGTATGATTTTTTTTTTTTTTCCAAGACGAATTGGAGACTGGTGACAAGAACAGTTGAGATCCCCAAGGTCTTCAAGTTTCATCCATGCCCTGGCATGTTCTGTAGGACTTGCTCTGAGTTGTGGTCTGGGAGCACAAACCAGACTTCAAAATACTCTGAAGGTTTTTGATGGGAATTTCATTGTTCAGTGAAATGTATTTTAGTGGAAGGAAGGAAGGCAAGCAGGCCTTAGAATCAGCTCTACTCCTTTGGGCAATCACTTGGCTTAAACTTTGTTACCTCATCTGCAAAATGAAGCTGTCCATACAAAATTATATAAAAATGAAATGCTATAACAGATGAAAGGACACCATATAGAAAAGCTGGCTCATGGTAGGTGTACATGAAATGTTTCTCTAGAAACATGTCATCATCACTGTCCTCAGCAGACTACCAAAAAGAGACTGTGGCTGATCTGGGTCTGTTTTCCTTCTGAATAATTTGTTATTTCTCCAGTGAATAATTTCTTTCTCCGGTGTAATATGATTAAAGACATTGTCTCCAGACAGCTCAAGTCAGCAGAAGTTGATAATGGGCACTGTGCTTATGTAGGGAAAAGTACCACCTATCAGAAGTGAGAGCATCAGAAGAAAAGGACCTTTTGAGGGGTCACAACCCTGTCGCTTAAGACCAGATGATTCAGGACATTTACCATTGGTTCAGAGTGATTGTGTCCAGGTTATTCATAATTTTTGCTGGGTTCTGTAGCCCATTTTGCAGTCCTTTCACTGAAAAGGTTCACCAGAGTAGCCAGATTGTACTGGGAGCTGAGTGATGTTTCACAGCACTCCTCATTCAGATGTGCTGGGCTCACCCCTCACCCCAAGAAGCCAAGTGGTCAGCAGAGATGCTGCTCGGGCTATCTGGTGGGAATCAGCCGCCCTCTCTCGCACATAGCATTATGTGAATTGGTTCATTTCTCTCTTTATTGTGTGTATTTCTTATCAAGGTGGTTGTTTTTATCCAGGCTGTTCTTCTACCTTTTAAGAGATTAGGGACTATTCCTCTGTTTAGACTTGCTCTACCTTTTGAACTTCTTAACCAACTATCTCAGTTTTTTGCCCTGCCAAGAATCTCGAAGGGAAGAACCATATTTGCTGCCATGTTTGTTGGTTATGAAAAAAAGATTCAGTGGCGGTAGACTCATAGGCAGAGAAGAGACAGGTGGCTACCTTGTGGGAGGGTTTGTGGTGGGTGGGTGAAGTAGGTGAAGGGGATAAAGAGGCACCAAATCTCAATTATAATATAAATTAATCAATCAGGTATGAAAGTATAGCATAGAGAATGTAGTCAGTAATACTGTAATATCTATGTTGACAGTGACTACCCTTATTAGGTGAGCATTTAATAATGTAGATAATTGCCAATTCACTATGTGGTGCATTTGAAACCAGTATAATATTGGATATCCACAATACTTCATTTTAAAAAAAGAATAAAGGAAAAGAAAGATTGGGTGACTGGGCAGAGGCAGGCACTGACACTTAGAGAGGAAGGAGGAGCAAGGGGAGCAAGCATGGGTGAGACAGAACAAAACAGACAGCCAAGGAAGATAGTGAGAGGAATAGACAGGAAAGGTAGCTAATGTAGAAAGGGGTCATATGTCCCCAAAGACAGACCCACAGAGTGACACACATAGAACCTGCTGCCACTCCCTCCCCACCTGATGTATAACACCTCACAACATGCTCCCCATACTCACACACACATACACAGGCCCCTTCCCCACAGATACATGTCTCAGGGTCCTTTACACACTTCACCCCGCACAGGGGGCAACCCTAGAGTTCTGCCTGTAAGAGGCTCACCTATGTGTGTTGATGCTGTGCTTCAGATGGGAACACGCAGGGACTTCTGTTTGCAGGGACTGGTGCAGCTGGGAGAGTCATTATAGTTCCTCTGCCTCCCAAATAGTACAACTTTAGCTTTTTATTATTTGGAAAGTTTTGGTTGCTAAATTGTTAGCTAGTTTAAAACCAGCAGCTTACATTCCCAGAACTGTGGAAAGGAAAATGCTCTGTCAGTAACATCAGTGGTAACAACAGCTGCCGTGGTTGAACATCCCTCATGTACCGGTCACCGGACTCTCTCCTTTACATCTGTGATCTCACTGAATTCTTCCAGCCCCTGTAAGGCAGGCATTATTGGCTCTGTTTCCTAGATTGGTAAACACAAGCCCCAAGAGGTTTAGTAACTTATCCCAAAACAGATACTATGTACTGCATAAATCTATTTTTATAAAAACAAAAATTATGTGTGTATATGTAACAAAAAAAGTGTGTGTATGTACACACACATAAGGAAAGGCAAAAATCTAATAGGAAATACACAGTAATGTTAATCGCGATTTGTGGTGGAGAGGAGGGAGAGGAATTTTGCATAATTTTTATTTTTCATATTTTCAAATATTTCTACAATGAAAAAATATGGTTTTTATAATTGAAAAGTTCTGCTTCAAAAAAAAGGTGACTGCTATACAGCATCTTGCTACGCTGATGGACAGTGACTGTAGTAGGGTGTGGGGGGGGGCTTGGTGACGGGGAGAGCCTGGTAAACATAGTGTTCTTCATGTAATTGTAGATTAATGATAGCAAAAAAAAAAAAATCAGTGTTTATTCTAGTCAGTTCTTTCCAGCTTCCATCTCAGGTGCCAGCCCTCCTTTCTTGTTTGCTTAGAGGATTTATTAGCTGTATTACTCTTTCCTGCGGAAGCTGACCTGAGGTTCTCTTTTCAACTTCCTGTCCAACTCCAGCACTCTGAAGAGCTGTGTCACCAGCCCAACTGAGAACAGTGATGCTGGCAAGCCTGAGAATGGAAGACTCGGCCAGGCAGGCTGCTAAGCCCCCGTCACCCCAAATTTCCACCCCAAAAAAATCAAACTTAATTCTTGCATCTTTCAGAGTGTGAATGGGTTTTGTGATTAGGCCCCAGTTTGGAAATTTCTGTTTAGGTGATAGCAGTCACTCTCCTGGTCTCTTGTTTTCATGAAAGAACTTTCTGACATTTGACCAAAGGATGATTTCAGGCCAGTGGGTAATGGTATCTGGTTATTAACTGCAAGATGTAAGAGTGACGAAATACCAGACTCCAAGATAAAAAGCAAATCCTCCATTCAAGGCTTGAGTTGGTCACCTTCAGTCGGCTACCACTGCTTTGGTCAAAAACTATAAATGTCAGGAAATCTGAGTCAATGCTAACTTTATTGTGCTTGGTGACTTTCCCCACCGTTGGGTTTAATTCTTGGTGGTAAGAGCCAGCAGGGATAACTAGCATTTTAAGTCAAGTGCTAGGAGCCTGAAACATGTAAATTTGAAGGAGGTTTGTTCCTCTGCAGATGATTTAAATGTTAAGTACGTCCCCATGCAGGGATACACGAAATGGAATCTGAAAACTATTATCTTCTGTAGAAATGAACTCTCAATTTACTCACTGCACAGGAAGGGCAGATTCTAGTCATTTTCACTGCCAGCAGGTGCCCTTTCTATGCATAATAGACTTCGCAAGTGTAATTAACACATGAGGACCACTGCTGCCAGTTTTTCTTCAGGTACATGCTGCTAGGAGTTTTCAGGACAACAGTGTAGGCTGTAAGAGCTTTTTACATTGCACTTGAAGATGAGGTGTTCATTGACTCGTGGACAAAGACATGTTAAATGGGACTGAGCTCAGACCCTGTTGTTGGTATCTCAAGTCATGGTCCTTGGGACCAGAGAGCCCAAGAGCAATAATTCAGCCTTTAGTAGAACAGAGCCAGTAGAGCAGAGCTCTGGGATGCAGTGAATACATGGAAAGTATGACACAGAAAACCCTGTAATTATGTGGAATACTCTAATTGCACATTCACAAATACAGCAACCAATTATCTGAGTTAACTTTAATTAGAGCTATAATCACAGATTTTAATTATCTGAATAAATCAGTTTAGTACAAATGGTCTGCCCTAAATATTTCCCAAATTAATTTTTTCAAGTCCCTTCCCATTTTGGGAGAGAGTGGTAGAGAAAGTGCCTAGGCTTTGGATTCAGACAGATCTGGGTTCCAATCTCAGTTTCATCTCTTGTTAGCTGTGTGACCATTAAAAAATTTATTTTACCCCTCTGATCTGCGATTTCTATTTCTGTAAAATGGACTTATTTACTTTGAAGAGTGGGTTTAGGAATTAAGAGATACTGATTGTCAAGTGGCACATGAGGGCTGTTAGTAAATGGTGGGTGCTCTTATCATAGTTTTTATTAACATGGGACATGGATTTTGGTTTCCAGTAGGTATAACACACATCAAACGTTACTCTTGCTTATGTTGTCTTGGGAGCTCAGGGAAAAACTTTATAATTCATCTTGTCTTTTTACCCCTTAGCCTAATTTTATTTTTATTTTTTTTATTTAACTTGAGTTATTGTATGGTTGTTTTCATTTACAGCTGTGGCATAAGAATGAAAAGAAGAGAAACAAAAGCAGATGGTAGAGAAAACTAAAGGAGTAAGACATTTCCAGCCCTCATAAATATTTAAAAACATGTGCTGCTGGTTCCTTTCTACTTTAGATCTGTACCATTCTCTTGCCATTGAAAGTAAAAATGAGACTGTTCCCTACCTTGGCTGATGGCAGCCCTGACCTTGGCCAGTGTTGGGAGAAGACTCTTCTCATTTCTGGGACAAAAGGATTAACTTGCTGATGAGAATCAGCATTCTCTTTCATTATAAT